GACAAATTAAAACAAAATTAATGAATAAATAAATAAAATAAATAAATGAAATAATTCTTAAAAAAAAAAAAAAAGAAGTAAACTGATGCATACTTGTTTTTGACTTTTTACTTTATTAGAAAATGTTTTGATGGGAACTGGCAGATGGCGTGGTAGTTAAAGGTGCTGGAATCACACATGGCTGACCACGGTTCGAGTCCCGGACCTGGTGGCTTGCTTTCTCACTTTGCCTGTCTCTCTCTTTCTCTCTGTCTAACAAAATTTTTAAAAATGATGACAACAATAAATGGAATTAAAATTTTTTAAAAAAGAAAATGTTATAAGGAAGCATGTATTTGTAGGCAGCTATTAATATGCTAAAAATACAGTCACACATAACATACACTGAATTCATGAGTGAGAGTTTAGCTGAAAAAAAAAATCAGGTGCCAGCCTCTGGCACGATGCATGGATCCCACATTGCCAACCACATAGTTCAAGAGTCTCAGGGGACCAGCAATTAGCGTAATGGCTATGTGGCTGAACTCCCATGTAGTCGATCGCAGTTCAAATCCTGGACCCAGTGGCTTAAACTCATGCCAGGCTCGTGTGTATGCATGCCCAAGATCCCGAGAGAATGGATAAGAAGGGACTGCAGCGTGGCCATCCCCTCTGGGGGATGATTTCTCGCTTTCTGTCTCTCTCTGTCTCTCTGGTGGTCACACGCGCTCTATAGCAGAAACCTCTCCAAAAAAAAAAAAAAATTAAATTAAAAAAATAAAGTCTCAGACCTAGTGGCTTAAAAAGACATACTGGGCATTACATGCCCAAAATCCCAAAAGGAGAGAGAAATACAGGAGAAGGGAATGTGGCATGATCATCCTCCATGAAGGGAGGGTGCTTTCTCACTTCCCCCGCTCTCTCTCTCTCTCCCCGCTCCCTCCAGCCAAGTGCACCTGCTGTCTAGCAAAATAAAAACAACGACAAGAACAAACAGAATTTAGATATGCCTCAAAGTGAGCATAATTAGGGGGAACCAGCAGTTAGTGTAGTGGCTATGTCGCTGGACTCCCATGTAGTCGACCGTGGTTCGCGTCCCGGACCCAGTGGTTTAAAACTCACGCTGGGCGCATGTGCGTGCATGCCCGAGATCCCAAGAGGAGAACGGAAGAGAAGGGATTGCGGCATGGCCATCCCCTCTGGGGGGTGATTTCTCACTTTCTGTCTCTATGTCTCTCTCTGTCTGGTGAGCGCACGCGCCCTATAGCAAAAACCTCTCCAAAAAAATTTAAAAAAAAGTGAGCATAATTAGGGAGGTCAGAGTCTCTGTTTTTAGATTAATTTCAGTTAGTACACGTATAATATGAACACATCATTTACTGTGATTCTATTATTTTTGGGGTGTGTGTGCAATTTGGCATCTAAACAAAACCAACTACTCATTTAGCGTTTGTTCAACCAGCGAAGTAGTGATTTATTCCAGGAGTGAGCAAACATCCTATAAAGATCAGTAAGATAGAGGCCAGCAACTGGCATGGTGGTTACAGTGCTGGACTCCCACATGGCTGGCCACAGTTCAAGTCCCAGACCTGGCCACTTGCTTTCTCACTGTGCCTCTCTCTGTATCTCTGACAGTAAATTTTTTTTAAATAATAATAATAATAAAAATTAATTAATCATTAAAAGAACAACAAAATAGTAAATACTTTAGGCACTGCAGTCCACCTGGTCTCCATGGCAACTACCCAACTCTGTCTTTGTAATTTCAAAGCAGTCATAGAAAAAGGGATCAAATGGGTGTGACTGAATTATGATAAAATTTCGTTTACAAAAACAGGCTGAATTTTGCCTACTAATTTGCCCTGATTTATTCCAGTGCTGGAGGGACTAAGGAAGATATTACATTAGTATCTAACATGGAAAAAAAAAAACCCTAACAGTACTTCTGATTTCATAAAATGTTTATCTTATCAACTGAAAAACTGATTTCCATGTAAGATACAACTCCACTGTGATAAAGACCTACACACCTGAATTCCTGCATTCACTCTTCTTTACATAAAGTGTAGACAAATTTAACAGGATGGTATTATTCAAGAAAACACAGTACATCCATTACTATTTATGAGCACTCTTTAAAAATCACTTACCCACTGGATATGTTCTGCAATTAGGCAACCAACTACTTTTTTATCATTAGAAATAAAGAGAAGGGTTTTAGTTCTCGAATAGCACATCAGCGGAGCCTGTTGGAAACCTAAATCATTATCAACCATCTCTCTAATCTCATCAACCTGCCAATAAAGAACAATAAAAATGTTAATGAGGGAAACATTTTATATAAATATACATATATATATACACACACATATATATACATAAGAGTATCTAAGTCCACAAGTTGAGTATATTATTCCAAGCAGAATATCCTCCAAAGAATGCTTCTGAATGTCTATACTGATTAATAACTGTTTTTAAGGACTGTGGACAACTTTGCAAAATAAGGGAAGATCTGGAGACTTATGCCAAGCCCCACAGTCTAGGGAACAAGACGGGCAATAATACCTACAACAGGTTAAATAGAACATTAAGGTTTTTTATTGGAAACATCGAGAGTTTACAAGTTGGAAAATGTATTAGCCAACTGAGGCACTTGTCTTATGTTGAGCCTTAATCAATAAAATGGAAGTTTGCACAGAGAAAAGAAACTGATGTTTACTTTCTAGCAACCACTTATGGGCCAGACATTATACAAAGAAAGCACTTTACAAGTATTATCTCACTTAAATGCAACATCTCTTGCAGGTTTATGGTTTCTCATTTTACATATGGAAAAAAGACAAAGGTTAAATTAATTTTCCTACATAAGATATCAGACATCTAAAAAAATGAGTATATGGACTGAAACCAAACAAGGACGCCCTAATGTATTTTCTAAGTTTCTTGAAATATAAGGTCCATTTACATTGCAATTACCCAGAGCAAAGAGTAAGTCTTCAGACTTTGGTTATGATAATGACCAACATGGACCATGAATAAGGGCCATTTGACCTCTAAAACTCTCACTTAAAGGAAAGATAAAGTTTTCATTTCAACATGTAAGATGTTTTGCAGGCTGGAAACTGCAGGTTGTGAGCTCAAAGACTCTAGGCTGAATGGTACCAGAAATCTTAAGAGAAATTTGAGTATCTAAAGCCACACCCATCGAGAATGCCTAGGAGATAATCTCACCCTCATGAATCAATCACCGAACTGTTCATGTGCCTCAGACCTCTGCCCCTAATTTTGCCCTTAAGAAAACACATGTGGGGAACATCTCAGAGAGACCGGGTCTTTTTAGTATGAGCTGCCCACTCTCCTTGCTTTGCGCTTTGCAATAAAACTGTACTTTCCTTCATCACACCATGTGCCTATGGTTTGGTTTTACAGTGCTTGGGCAAGCGAACCTGATTTGAGTTCAGTAACAGGATAAGCATATGGTATAAAGGTTATGTTGCTGGACTTCCACATAGTCAACCGCAGTTCAAGTCCCGGACCTGGTGGCTTAAAACTCATGCCAGGCAAATGTGCATGTGTGCCCAAGATCCCAAGAAGTATGAGGGAGTTCAGCAACATAACCATTATACCATCTACTGGTTCCTAAATGCTTATTTCTTGTTTTCAGAACTGTTAATTAAATGTACTGTGCCAGACCAGCCAGTGGCATGGTGGTTAAGGCAGATGGATGGATAGATAGATAGATAATTCTTCTTTAAAGAATTATTCATTCATTTATTCTTTAAAGAATTCTTCTTTAAAGGAACCAGCAGTTAGCATAATGGCTATGTCACTGAACTCCCATGTAGTTGACCACAGTTAAAGTCCCGGACCCAGTGGCTTAAACTCACACTGGTCGCGTGTGTGTGTGTGTGTGTGTGTGTGTGTGTCCAAGATCCTGAGAGGAGAATGGAGGAGAAGGGATTGTGGCATGGCCAACCCCCTGAGGGGGTGATTTCTTGCTTTCTGTCTCTCTGGTGAGTACACACGCCCTATAGCAAAAAAAAAAAAAAGAATTCTTCCTTAAAGAATTATTAATTTATTTCCATTTGTTATTATTATTTTTTTAGTTTGACCAGAGAGAGAGAGAGAAAGGGAAAGCAAGTTGCCAGGTCCGAGACTCTAACCATGGTAGGCCATCTGAGAATCCAGTGCCTTTAGCCATCATGTCACCTGATGGCCCATAAATAATTCTTAAAAAAAAAAGTTTAAAAAAAAAATAAATGTGCTATGCCAGCAATATGTTATCTTCTTAAAATTAGCTACTTAAAACGATATCATCCACGCTATATGAAATTTCACTAGAAATACCTTCTTCAGGGCATACTTTGGGTCTTCAGGAAGAACCATTTTTATCCTGCCATCAGGGTATTCAGCCAGAATTCTTTCTTTTTTCCAGCCCTAAATATTAAAAAAAAAAAAAAAAAAAAGAATTTTATACATATTTTATTCATCATATCCATGTACAAAAGAGAAAAAATAACTTAATTTTCTAGAAATTGCAAACATAGAAAATATATGCTCATTAATGTTTAACTATTAAGGCATGATCAATCAGCTACTTTGTTAATAATAAGCACATTATAGGTACAAGGCAAGCTAATTTCTCTCTACTACTCATTTACATATAATACATTTCTAATTTATCATATCCCATTTTAAATTAATTCTGAAAATTCACACACCAAAAGTAGCCCCTTAAAGTCAGTGATTCCCAAAACCTAAACAATAACTCTCCCAGAAACTTGATAAAAGAATTAAATACTAAAATAATCTCTTTGGAACATGGTTACCTCCACAGACAAACACTCATAGTTTTATGTCTGGCATGCCAAAGACCTCCAGGAGGTTTTAAATGAACTGATTTGCATGCAAGTAGCCCGGTATGAAAGGAATAGTTTTTATTCTTATTGATCACAACTATCAAAGCCACAAGAAGGAGACTATAAAAATATAACTACCTTCTAAGAATCTAATAGGGAAGGAGAAGCTACGTTGTGTGTATCTGAAGTTAAACATACTCAAAAAAAGAGGTAATAAACTCTTCTTCAGATCCACACTCGTGGTGATTAATGAGCAGAACCTGCATGAAAAAAAAAACAAAACAAAAGCCACTTAAATCTATAAGATGGGACTGAACCAGAGGTTACAACTAGGAGCTTTGAAGTTCAAAATAATACAGAAGGAATGAGCTTAACTAGTTCTTCCATTTGTCTTACCCAACCAACTTTGCATAAAAAGGCCTGTTCAGAAACTCATGGTTCTTTTGGAGAAAACCATTATCTTTTTTCTGGCATCTGTTTATTCTAATAAGAACATGAAAGTTCGATGAAAGCAAAAAAAAGTTAACTAAATTTTAAAAATATACTATGAGAAGTCTAAAAGGAAGATGGTTTTCTTAAAAAATGCATATTTTTTTATTTTTGGAGACGTGTAGGGTCTTACTTGGGGACAAAAATTCTAGTAACAATGTTTGCATATAAAACAATTTAGATCAAAATACTTAAAATCTAAAATTTGTTTACAAAATAGAGCATCCAAAGGAAAAGAAAATGTACGTGATTAAAATTGATGGGCAAAATGTTTTTCAGACTTAAATTTAAAAAAAGCAGAAACATTAGTCATAGAAGACTCTTTTTCAAAGAAACTAAATTTAAATTACATACAAATCTATAGGTTGACATTTTTTAAAAGTCATAAAAGATAATCACCTCCTTTAAAAATAATTTACATTAATGCTTTTAGAAAAAGCTCTTAATTTATTTTACATAAAATAAAATGGAAATGTTTCACTTTAAAACAAACTATAAATTCAATGATGAATCAGAGATTTAAGTAACTTTGGATTATAAGGAAGTCATACTTTCTGAATTAAATTATCTAAATAAAAGTGATTCCATAAACTATTTTCCTATAATTCTCTTTAAGAATAATATTGATCTCGTGTCATTATAGTGCACTATAGGCAATAGTAATAAACTAATTTCTCTACTAACTTGTTAATACAAAACTTTCCCTTGAAACTTACACATTCATGTAGAAAATTTTATCACAACGGGATTTCATATAATCTAATACTTCAAGCACATTTTTTTTTCACATATTAAACCAAAGGCCTTGAACTGGCCCTGTGCTCTAGTAGTTAAGGGAACTGGATCCCACATGGCTAACCACAGTTCAAATCCTAGCCCTGATAACAAAAAAATATGCTGGATGCATGAACATATGTGCTGCAAATCCCAACAGGATAGAGAAATGGAGAAGGGACAGTGGCATGACCATCTTCCACTGTAGGGTGCTTTCTCTGCCTTCCCACCCTCTGATGAGCACACACATCCTCTGGCAATTAAAGTAAAAAATAAATAAATAACTAAAGGCCCTAACAGTAGGAACTGTAAATGTAGTTAATACTACAACATAAAGATGGCATATTTTAGTATAAATTTTCTAATAGTTCTGGGTTTTAATTTTTTTCTACTTTTTAAGTCTGCTAGAGGGCACATGTGCTTGCCAGAGAGAGAGAGAAAGACAGAAAGTAAGAAAGCACACCCCAAGGGACCAGCAGTTAGTATAATGGCTATGTCGCTGAACTCCCATGTAGTTGACCGTGGTTCGAGTCCTGGACCCGATGGCTTAGACTTATGCCGGGCGGATGTGTGTGCGTGCCCAAGATCCGAGAGGAGAACGGAAGAGAAGGCATTGTGGCGTGGCCATTCCCCCTGGGGAGTGATTTCTCGCTTTCTCTCCGTCTCTGTCTGTCTTTCTGGCGAGTGTATGCGCCCCATAGCAAAAACCTCTCCAAAAAAAAAAAAAAAGAAAGAAAGAAAGAAAGAAAGCACACCCTGAGCAGGGACAGCCATACCACATACCCCTCACTTCTATTAACCCCTTGGGGTTTTTGAGCACACATGCCCAGCATTTTTTAAGCTACTGCATCTGAGACTTGAACAGTACTGTTGGTCATGTGAGATCAAACCACCCTAATTACCACACCATCATTTGGCCCAGGTTTATTTGTGTTCTTGATAGCTCTACGATATATGACCTTGGGCAAATCACTGGAACTCTGATTTTGTTCCCTGATATAAGTGATCGATAAAACAGCCATCATCAGTCTATAGCTTGGTAGTTAAGAGGGTCCTGTTTAAGATCATTGCTCACCTAGAGCAGTAACTCTTGGGAACTTCCTCTCCCTTACTAGTATCAAACAAAGATCAATGGTCTAATCTAACAAAACACAGCCAATCAAATAAGCATTCCCAACAATAATACAACAAAAAATTAAAAATCACAGATGAAAGTAAAATAACAAAGTTAACTAGTATCTATCAAATAATATATTCAAGATATTCATATGCTTCAACTGCAGTTAACATTTGGCTATTCTCAATAGTCACATGACTCTCCTGACTTCAGAGAATTCAGAGTAGATGAAGTCCATCTGCTGCTTGAAAATTAAGGCAGAGGTGGAGGGTATGGGAAAGGGTTCATGCAAATTAGAAGAATAACCAAATAGCCACAGCATTTTTCACAAGTAAAAGGGGAGAATCATAACACCATTCAGAGTGTATTAGCTTTGAAGTAAGACAGAAAAAATTCAAAGAAAGTGATAAAATTTGGTCTTTATTAAAACAGCCCAATTTATTATTCAGGAAAAAAAGTCTAAGGCTCATTCTAAGTATTACATAGTTTAATAAATAGCAGTAACTATTTTAATTATTTTCTTTTTTATGACTGAGCATGTGTGCTCATACATGAATGTGTACATGGGGGAAAGAGAAAGACGGATGAGTGCCCTCCAGAGTCTGGTCATGCCACAATCCTCTCCCTTCAATCCTCTAATCCATCAGATCTTAAGCATTTGCACATGTGCCCAGCATGCTTCAGGCTGACCTGTCTGAGGATTTGAACCTCAGTTACCATCTGTGTTCTGGCTTCTCTTGAGCAGCACATCACCACTGTGTCTCAGAGCTGGCCACAAAGCTGTAACTCTCTTAAATGATATCTACATAACTGACTTGCTGGATTAACCAAGGCTCACTCTTCTCTGGGTAAAACACAGAAACTAGGGCCAGCAGGTAGCATGATGGTTAAGGTGCTGGACTCCCACATGGCCAACTGCAGTTTGAGTCCAGGACCCAACAGTTTGTTTTCTCACTTTCTCTGTCTCTTTCTTCTAAAATAATTACTTATTTAATTTTACTTATTATTATTAAGTTTGCTATGGGGTACATACACTCACCACAGAGAGATAAGGGGGGGGGGTACCAAATCACCCCCAGTATGGGAATCTAACAGCAGTCAGCCAAGTGGGAGTCTAACACCTTAACCACCACACCACCTGCTGGACCCTAAATAAACAATTCTTAAACACACATACACACATGCACACACACACACAAACTGATGCCTAGAGCACACATTACAAGTAAGCTACAAGTAAGTACTACAAGTACTTACTTGTACTCCATTCTCCTCTTAGGATCCTGGGCACATACACACACATGCCCAGTGTGAGTTGTAAGCCACTGGGTCCAGGACCTAACCATGGTCAACTACATGGAAGTCCAACAACATAACCATTTTACCATCTGCTGATCCCAGGTCAAGTCTCCTTAAAATACTGTTAAGTATAATAAGACTGCATGTACCGTGATTTTCAAGTTGCTCTGGAATATCTCAGTTCTAGTACTACTTTTTTCGAAAGCAGAAGATAGTTACAGCTGTAATTTGTATGAGAAACACAAATCTAAACTCTAACTTAGAGTATTCATACTCCATTAGTATCCCCACACCAATTATAGCCAATATACATTTGTGTGCTTTGTAACATTTAAGCTAATGGAATAATAACCATAGGGAAAACACTGGTCTTTGCCTAGCCCATGACATTCTCTCCACTTTTTCCTTTATTTATTTTTCCATTTTCTTTAGGGTAATAACATGTATATTCCCAATAATGAAGTATGATTGGTCTAAGTCAGGTTTATACTGGCATTTTGAGCTGACATTCTACCTTTTCTTTTTTTAATTTCATTTAACTTTTATTTATTATTATTATTATTTTTAATATTTCCAGAGAGAGACACAGAGAGAGAGAAAGGGAAAGCGAGAAAGCAAGGCTCCAGGTCCAGGACTCAAACCACAGTCGGTCATGTGGGAGTCCAGCGCCCTTAATCACCATGCCACCTGCTGGTCCTCTATCTTCTTTGAGAACGTCCTGTCACTAAATAGCAACGATATTCTCTACACATTTCCAATGTACCCTAACACAAGTAAACATGCCAGCACTCAATATTGACAACCCCTGGCATCAATCAATCATCATTATTTTCTCTCTTTTTGCCAGACTTTTGCTTTCCTAGCTTTCTTGTCAACTATAGGTGGCTAATAAGCCTGGT